TTTTTGGGGGGGGGGACTAGATGCCATAGCAATTCACGTTATTATCATTCTCGTTTCCTTCTTGTTTTCCCCTAAAAGTGATCTTCTTTATCTGTAGTTTTATAGCCAAAGGTTGGGTAGAATGGTTACTTGGGGCTTGGCTCTGCCCATGTATAATATAGTCGACCATGCGCTAACAACCATCTGAACAAGCCAATCACGTGTACATTATTGGATCTTTTCCCACTTCCTGCCTTGTATTTTTTTGAAAATATCAAAACATTAAACATTGACACTATCCCAAACGTCTGTCCACATTTCTAGGACAACCACTTCTCTCTTCCACAACGTGTGGTCGGCTTGGACAGGTTTTATCGTATACACATGAAGAGTCCTCGGGAAAACGGACATAGTCACACACTGGAAATTGTGAGGGTGTCAATTTTAAACGCTTGAGGACTCATAACTTCATATAATTTGTTGGACTGGTGGTTTATCGTTAAGTGTTGTTGAATGGGAAATCTAACAACAATAATCAACCAACAGTGGAACAAAAATACAATTATGAGTCAACACATGCTCAAATTTGATACTCCCGCGATTTTCAGTTTTTTATTTCTCCCGTTTTCCCGTGCACTCCTCGTTTTCTTTTAGCAGGTCAGAGATCTGGAGTAGGTACAAAACGCTCGAAACAAGCTCTCGACCACAGGCCCACGGTCGCCACTGCACGTCATAGGGTCAGTTAGACAAATACAGCACCGGTGCTTCAAACATCGCACTCTGGGGACTCTCGTGGCCTAGATGTTAAGGTGCTCGCCTCTCATTCAATAGGTCCTGAATTCGAATCCGGGTATGGACGGAAAAATTTTCTACTCTAAAGTTGTTTCCTTTCACCTCCTTTCCTGCTCTCTTGCAATGTTCTGTCGTCTGCTTTCGTCTCCTCTTTCTTTCCCTACCCCCTCACCTCCTTTGCCCCCTCCTCTGGGCTCCTGACTCTGTCTGCAGCCTTTCTACTGCTTCTGCCTGGCTCCTTCTTACAGCCGTCTTTCTTCCACACCCCTGATCTTCTGGTAGGAAAGATCTACACCTAGCCTTCTCGGACAAGGGCGAAAAATGTCAGAGTCCAGTGTGCAATTGCGCATATAAAGATCCCTTGATGATCCAAACTCGATAAGAGTAGGCTTCGTCCGCCACCCAGGCAAAATTCAAAATTTCCTACCAAGTAAAAGAGTTGAATGTGTCCCGCGCGCTCATAATGACCTTGTGCACTTCAGAGTGCCGTAAAACACTTACCCCCCCCCCCCCCTCAAAAAAAGCCATCCTACTCTATAACCACAACACAGTTTCCTCACCCACGTTGGTGGTGTAGTGGTCAGGCACTTCACTGTCGCACGCAGGAGACACAAGTTCGAGTCCCGAGTGGGGAGAAAAATGAATCAAGTATCTCCGTCTTTCTGGCTGGGGATTGTATACCTCTCGGCCCATGTTGTGTTGGCCCCGCCAGCCTCCTGAATGACCTAACTTGTGTTGATGGGGGCGTAAAAAAGACTTCTATTTATAAACAAACAAAACGGACTGAAAGAAAATTGTTTCACACTTTTACATAGTAGGCATTTGTTTTTCTTTTTTTTCGGGGGTGGGGACGGTTGTTTTCATTAATTTTTGTTTCATTGAGCGGTC